TAGGAAATAATATATATTTTCAACAAAAAAAAAAACATAGAAAATACAAATATACGTCTGAAAGAAGTATATGTTATAGTCAGTGGCTACCAAGAGTTTTTTTTTTTTTAATAAAGAAATAATTATTTTAATAAATCTATTGGGAAATTGGTTGATGATGAATTAGGTATATATTATCATTATTGATATAAGGATCGTATAAATAATCATGATTCACATTAGATGAACACTGATCAGGTTGATAGTTATCCCTATTTAACTAACATTTTTTTTAAATATCTTTAATGGCCGGTCACAAAAAGTTGAGTCCAATATGAGCAAAAACGAGATTTTAATTGTACTCTGAAAAAAAAAACTGTTCAAGTATCATTTTTTTTCAAATTGGACTAACTGATTATGATCGTCCACCGAAATAGCAGTCGATTACGACTTGCTGCGTCGTTTGGTGATTATACCAAATAATTTTGGATTTCGATGGGATGTCTTGATTTTAAACTCTTTGTCTTTCCCATGCGATTAAGATTTAATGAGTTTAGATCTCGGACTTAGGTAATATTTAGTACATAAAACCTATTAACGACAAAACACTCGCATACGTCACGCGTTGTACGATAATCGTTTAATTCGCACACGCCACAGACCTCATTATTAGCTACAGTAGCCTATTCTGTTAGTGTTAAAATAATTATAATTGAATGCCATAATAATAATTTGTTTTCATTGTTCTAAACATCCTTCGTTGCCTTGCAGTTAACGTGTAACATTGCCGCCGATAGTCGACAGTGTTGATTTTTAGCACAACGTCGCTCATGCTTTTCAAATTCGCTTTTAGCGTTTTTCCATTATTGTTATTAATACACAATATATATTTTACATGTATACGTTTTTTTTTTAAGCATCGACCTGTCCCGCAAATATATATTTACCTTAAACTAAAAAAGTGGTTAAAGACAACAGCTTAAGTGAATTTAGCTGAACAATTGGAAGGGGGGCTTATACGAAAGTCATGAGTGCTAAGCAACTGCTAGTACCTCCCAAATAGGGACTATTGATTTTTTAGTGCGCCATTTAGTAATTATTTTTTCGCGAAATTGTTGCTCGCTTCATAAAACAATGTACATAACAAGCCATTAGTAGCGATTTGAGAGTTTACAGCTGATACTCTATTTCCAGTTCCCACCATATATAATTGCATTACTCAGTGCATTAATATTAGCACAGTCGATACGAATTAAACGATACGTGTTTTTAATTTCCGTCCATGTGGTATAAAAAAAACTATATATATATATATATATATATATATATAAAATATTTCCTTCATCGTTGGAACATTAACTGTGCGAATTAGTGCACAAAATATTGTCAATATTTGACCATGAGCAAATAATGTGTAAAAAAAGTATATATACATATATTATTATATGGTGCAAGTAGGTATTATATTATACACATATACACTTATATTAATGTATGGTGAAGGTTACAACGAGGAATTCCAAACTACGACCAAGCGGAATGGGGTGGAACACGGTGCGGCGGAAATATTCTACGTTATATTGTTTAAACGCTGCGGTAACAATATACATTTATTATAGTTATTAGACAATACTTATGAATCGCGTTTTTATGTGAAAGGAGCTAAATAAAAAAAATTAAATAACGTTATTTCACAAAAATTAAAAAAACAAATTACACTACACCCAAGTCGTTCAAGATCTAACTTGAAAATGAAAAATAATCTCTTTTCACTCTACTACACAAATATGTAAATGTAAATATCATAACTATTGAATTTTAATTATTGTGACGCATATTCGATGGCGTAATTAACACATGTTGGCCAAAATGTGTTTACTGTATTTATCTGATGGAAAATAGAAAGAGAAAACATCTTCCAGGATATATGTCTTACTGTTAAAACAAGCAAAAAAAAAAAAATCCAACAAAATTTGATTGATACTACGGCTGTTGTTGTATTGGAATTGTGCGAATAATTCTTTAAATCGTGTACCGCGTTCACGTTTCCATTTTTTATTTGGACGGGTTATTATTACGAAATTCGTTATACTTCGCAATACTTACAGAGTGCAGTTCTGCAATCTGTGCCCAAAAGTAGATACCTATTTTATCGAGTCTAAATTAATAATTGATAATAACATGAAGCTGGTTATTCTATTACCGAGAGCCAACTTCGGGCCGCGTTGTGAGTTATTATTAACGACAAACTCGTGCAGAAATAATTTTTTAAAAATAGACTGAACAAGTGGTAGTTCGTAGCGCCGCCGACAGAAAGACACACATAATGTATTATTTGCCTTACATTAATAAATAATATATACATACAATGTGCACGCAACATTAGGCAAAAGTTACGGCACGCTATCGTGCCCGTTTGTCCGACTAGGAATTTTTCCAAATTCTATTTTGTGGACCGACCGTAATTCTGATTGATCAATACTCGGTCAATATTAGTCATGCCTGTACATTGTACAAGTGGTCTAAATCTATACTGATTTACCGACTCTCTTGGGGTACCAACTCGAAAAACTGCCAAAAAAACGCAGCGTTGGCGTTTAGTGTAAAACGTTTTTTTATTGTCCTTGTAGTAGTAGTAATAGGTCTAAATTGAAATCTATTTGTGAAAATATATCATTAGTATTAATATAGGTAGGTGCCTAGCTATTTTCAATAAGAAAAAAACGGTTTTGCATTGTCCAATCAGGTAAGCATTTTAAGTAAACAATAACATATAAATTGAGTTATTATTGTTTTTATCATAATAATATACACTATTGCACAGGCCATTCTGTGGGTGAGCCACCGTCAAATAATTGTCCTATGTAAAAAAAAAACGCACACATCAACCACAAAGCGGTCCGTGACCAATTGTGGAAAGAACCTGACCATTATTGTTGTTTTATACATTTGTTTATTATTAATGGTTCTGGACATGGTCCTATTTGTCTTGTTTAACCTATATTATATTATATACGTTTAATTTCTCCATACAAATCTGCGTAGACTTCTCACAACTATAAGGTTAAAAAAGATACAAAGATTTTTCATTTAGATTTTTACTCATTTTTTTTTTAAATGGACGTCCCATTATTAGACACTGAGAAAGTCATTGAAGTTTTAAATTAATTAATGTTGAGATAGAATAGGATATATAAAAGATTTATTTAAGTATTATAAACTACATTTTTTTCCCCGCACGATGAGTATATTTTCTTTTAACAAAAAAACTATGATAGATACGATAGAAGTATGCTTTTCTTTATAAAATAAAAGTAAAGTAGAATAATATAAGTTAATTTGAAAAGGAAACTTTATAAAAGCCCTTTAAAATACTTAATTTAAGTATAATTTAAATAGAATTCTTAATAATAAGTAAAAAATGAATAGTTCAATTTAATCATTTGTTTTAAAGTATTGTGTGATAATAATTTTGTTCGTACAGTCATTGCAGTTTATTAATATTGTCTTTTTTTTAGATTTATAATTATTAAAATCTCTTTTTTTTTGTAAATCTAGATTTTTTACCAAAAAAAATATTGATTTAGCTATTTTAAAATAAAAATCTTTACAAAATGGCCTAGTGCACAACAAAGCTTACGGAATTGTGAAAATTAAACTATTATTATTATTAATTATTGGTATTTTAACAATTTAGCTTTTGGTTTAGGGTTTTCAGTTATATTTTGTTTTCATAAAATTAAAAACTGTTTCTTTCATTTGATACCCATCTTTATGGACACTAAGCTATTCGGATTTCCATTTGTTTACACATACTGAGTATTCATTCTGTGTAGACGTTAAGTTTTATTAATAAAATATATATATACATATACTTTCTTAAAATATATTTTTTTTATTCTTGTTTCACTCGGCTCGAATGACATTATACTATGACTTTTACAGTCAACAAAAAAATATTACTTTGATAATAATAATAATAATATGTCCAGATGTGTGATGCGTTTTTTGGTGATATTATTTTCTTTTTAAATGTAATCTGAAGGGGAAAGTTCCGACGGAAAGATAAAAATAGTCGATAATCCGTAGAAATTGTAATCTGCTTAAACCTGTATAATATATTAATGAATATATTATATTGGTGATGGACTAATACATTATTTTCATGATGTCAATTCTGACGATTAATCCGCTTAAAAAAGCGGTGAAAGACGTGAAAATAATTTACATGTCGATATTTAGCTAACAAATTTAGAGGCTGTTATAGTGTAAAAACATTTGTGTTGTGCGATTTAGATTCGTGTCGTAAACGAATTCGAAATTATCGTCAACATTGTTGTTTTGTTTTTTTTTTTTTTTTTGTACACGTTTAAACTTATGACTAGGCTTTCCTCTTCCACTTTCCCTGACGTGTGTAGGTTTTTTTTGTGAATTTTCGCTGTAATACAAAATTGGAGAAAAAACACTAATGAAATGCGTAATTATTTACAATTTATCGTGTGCAAATAAATCAATTACGCTACCGCTATAAACGTTATGTGTATATTATATATATATATATATACACTATTGTCATACTCTCAATCTAAACCGGGGCCTCGTTCTGTTTTTTGTTTTCACACAGTAGTCGCTGTAGTTTTTTCGATTAATAACTGCAATGGCAATGATAGCCTACAGTCGTTCGGACCGGTCATGGCTCTCTCTTTTGAATGGGACTTTGACAAAATCGTTTGATCCGCAGCCTTTGAATTTGCCGGTGCATGCGGATCAGCATCACCAAGTCTCTGAATCATTCCTTATTTTATAATACAAATCTCCCGTCGCTTCCGCGTTTAATCATGTGTACAATTTCATACTTAAAGCCACCGTTTCTCTGTACTACGGATCCTAAACGCTTAAATCAAACCTTCCGTATTCTGTTCTCTGTCATACTCACTCGTAGGCCATTTATTATAGCAGACTAAAGTAAAAATGAAGTATTATTTAATTAATTAATTTTTGTACGTTTACCGTTTTTTCAGACGTTTACGGCCTGGTGCAACTCTCACCTGCGCAAAGCGGGCACGGCCATTGAAAATATCGAGGAAGATTTTCGTAATGGTCTTAAGCTCATGTTGCTGCTAGAAGTTATATCCGGCGAGACCTTGCCGAAACCCGACAGGGGCAAAATGCGCTTCCACAAAATCGCCAACGTCAACAAAGCACTAGACTTCATCGCCAGCAAGGGAGTCAAACTGGTGTCCATCGGTGCCGAAGGTAACACTTTTCTCTACATTGCAATCGTGTGGTTAGATCAGGTGGAAATAGGCGACGAGGGTGTTGTGTGATGAGGAAAATCAGAACAATTTTTTGACAATTTAACTATATTAACAAATAAATAAAAGAAGTATAAATGTATTAGTCTATGTGTAATTTTAAGTAGTTGGCTTGTTTGCATTTTTGATTCGGAGTTGTTAGGTTAGTTAGTAGAGCTGGTCAGTATTACATTTATTAAAATTATTAATTTGGGTAAATTATTATTGCACCTAACCTTGTGATAATCGCTTAAAAAAAATACCCCAGGTGTCGTACACACCCATCTCTATAACAATGGACAATTTTTTTTTTAACTTTCTGTGTCACGATGTATCTAATTAAGATATAACAGTACAACAACAACCAAAGGAATATATTTGCAGTATAATATTGTAAAAAAAACGCTGTGGATTATACCGGAAAATAATTAAGAATGCGTAGCTTTATGATAAGCTCTTTGTTTTAATTTTACTTATAATATTTCCCATGGTTTTTTTCTTTAGGTTTTTTTCCCCGTTTGCCATCCCAAACTTACAAATAGCTTCGCTCCTATCTCGTTAATACCTATGCCTATAGGTATTTCTGTTTAAGCCGGTTAAGTACTAACAAACATGTTGTGTTTTTAGAAATCGTCGATGGAAATTTAAAAATGACTCTGGGCATGATATGGACGATCATTCTGAGGTTCGCCATCCAAGACATATCCGTGGAAGAGATGACCGCCAAAGAAGGTCTGTTGCTTTGGTGTCAACGCAAGACGGCCCCGTACAAGAACGTCAACGTGCAAAACTTCCATCTCAGGTTTGGACCGGTCGCCATATTTTGGTTTTTATTCGACGTCGATTTAATAACTCGCCATTTGTTTTAATTAGCTTCAAAGACGGTTTGGCTTTCTGCGCGCTCATCCACCGGCACCGTCCCGATCTCATCGACTACCACAAACTGTCCAAGGACAATCCTCTGCAGAATCTGAACACAGCGTTCGACGTGGCCGAAAAGTACTTGGACATACCGCGCATGTTGGACCCCGAAGGTAAAAACAACAACAATCGACTGCGATTCTCGTCGTGCCGGATTCTAGTATGATGATAATAAAGACCATCACAACACGAGACACCCTGTTTTCGCAAGTGTACACCAGAAATTTGTGTTGACTTTCGAGTGATAAGGCTTTACTCACAACACCGGAAGATTTAAAGGATATTCCCGTTTGGATATTTTAGAAATCTCGGAAACATTCGGTATACTGAGAGTTGGATTAGATTATTTCCCACGGGATGCCCAAATGGGAGCTGGGAAATGAGAAGGAGTCCGTGACATGTAGAAATCTGCAAATCTATTAATTAGGTTGGGTTAGCTTAGGTTAAATAGTAAATACGGTTGGGTAGGTTTGGTTAGGTTGACGAGATTTTGTTTTAAACTTGTTCTTTAGCTAAAACAATCGTTCTGTAGAAATAAAATGCTGTAAATCAATAAATGTTGATACGTATAGCTATGAAATATTTACAAAAATGTTAGCCTCATCATTAACAAAACAACTTTGTGTTTTAAAACCACAGCCCGGAGATCCCTATAGTCTATATAGAAACCCAACTTGCAAGTTTCCCGTACCAACACCGGTATTAAATGGGTACTTCTCCCATTATAACCTAATCTAACCCGATACTTCATATTGTAAGGAGAGTCATGGACACTACTTGTACGAACCGTTGGGAGGACGTAAAGGCTGAAATACTTGAATGAGAATCGTAGTCGATCGTTGATGACAACCGGTGTATTTAGTAGGTAGGGTTGGACAATGCAACCAAGTGTTAGAGTATAATACAATTTTGTATACATTCTACAAAGAAAATGTTAGGATTAAACCATAAATGATACCGTTGATTTGTATAGACATGATAAACACGCCGAAACCCGACGAACGCGCGGTCATGACCTACGTGTCGTGTTATTACCACGCTTTCCAAGGCGCTCATCAGGTAACTAAGTGATTTGCGTGTTTCACAAGCGTGTGTTTGTCTTGAAAATAATCATTTGGTTTTGTTTTTTGTGTAAAAAAAATCTCACCTGTCTAAGATTGACTTCCGTGTCTTTCGTCTAGACTAGGAATAACAATCAAACACAATGTATTATAATCTAATATCGTTTTAAATATTATTTTATTAATTTCCTAATCCCATGTTTTGTAGTTTTTTTTTCTCAAATTCAACGTACACTAATATGATATACTACTATAAATTCCATCTCGCACAGAATATACAATAGTTAGAATATAATATAGTCAGTTTATTAACCGGTATAATATAGACAATATTTCATCTCTATGAAAATTACTACTTCTTTTTTAGTACAGTTTTAGGAGCGTTTTTAACACTGTAAATATTTGTACAACAATAATTGTCATACTATTTTTGAACATTTGTCTAAATTCTTTATTAAATCATGGTTTTGACACAAAACTATTTTAGATAATACTTAGTTAAAAAGGCAAGGAAAAATTTAATTTATTTTTTCTCAAAAAACCTAAGAATTAATTCTTTGTACTATAACTATATGCTAAAATTATACTTAAAATAAGTATAACTAATAAAAAGAGAATGTTTTTTTTATTGATAACCGGAAAAATATAAACTAGCAATCAGAGTTGGGCACATTTTAAACAAGGTAATAAATAATTGACAATTTGACAAATAATGTATTTATCAAAAAAAATGTTTAGTATTTTATTTGAAAATAAAAATAAAATTATTTTATTTGAAAATAAAAATAAAATTATTTTATTTGAAAATAAAATAAATTATTATTTGAAAATAAAATAAAATTATTTTATTTAGTTTTTTAGTTATAAATTAAAACTTGTTATCTAATCGTTCAAATAAGTAATAGTTAAATATAACAAATAAAAACAAAGAGTTATAACTTATAAATAATAAATAAATTATTGTGTTGACGAATATCATATGATAAAATAACAGATACTTATTTTTATTTTTATTGTTTCATCTAGATATAAAATTATAAGAATAATACCAGCCTTACTATCTTATTATAAGCTCAAGATTAATTCATAATTTATTTTCTAAATATCAAACTAAATATATTATCATATTTTCCTTGAGAAACACATTTAAATGCTTTGTAGATATTGAAATAATAATGTCGAATGTTTTGTAGTTGTGATTGAAAAATTGAAAATAATTGGGGACACTAAATCTGATTTTGGTGAGACCATAATAATATTATTTACCAAGTCCCTCTGTTTATGTTAGTTCAACGACAGAAAAAATGCGATCAACTGAGTCTTGCAATTGATTTTTGTTATGTAACATAAACCCAATCACTACTAATCAGTACTCTAAGAAAGTTTGAATGCTTTTCCTTATCAACTTAACCATGTGCATGTTTGTTTGTTAACATTGTTGTTAGATATGACGAATACGGCAATGCCAGACGAAAGGGCCATAATGACCTACGTGTCTTCATATTACCATTGTTTTTCTGGAGCCCAGAAGGTAAATGCCATTGAAACGTCAGCTTAACGTGTGACTAATTGCGTTTCATTTATAATAATTGCTTGTTGAACATTTATATATAAAAAAAAAGTTTACTACTTTTCCTTTGTGTGTACTAGGCGGAGACAGCAGCCAACCGAATTTGCAAAGTGCTCAAAGTGAACCAAGAAAACGAACGTTTGATGGAAGAATACGAGCGTCTGGCTAGCGATGTAAGTGTACCCTACAATGTGCAAGACCGTACTAAGAAGTGCAAGGGGGACCACGTTGCCAAGGCACATAGATTAAGGACGGGCCCATGTTTTAAATATACCAGGTTATTGCATTGCTACCCCTTCTTCATCGAAATTTTCAACGATAATAATAAAATGGCAGCGCAAAGGTTAGCCAATCAAATTTATTTTTTTTATAAAGGTATTATTTATATATTATCAAAAAACAAATTATGTACCCTTACACTGCCATTTTATGAATTGATAATATAATAAAGTGGGGATATGCAATAACCTTGTATATTTAAGCCATGGACAGGCCTTTATAATGATGTCGACAATCAAAAGTCATGTTGTGACGGTCATTGACATTTATCTGTTTAAACTTCGATAAAAACTTAAGGGGATTAAAAGCGTTCTGGTTTAGACCAAAATGCATAGCAAAATTTTGACTACTTGGGAATTTAGAATGGTCTGATTTCAATTCTGTAAAGAGATACAAGTTCTTTGACTACATTACATAAGTTATGTAGGAAACGGATTTTTGAATTTTTTCATATAAAAAACTTGTTTCCTACATAACCTGGTAAGGTAGTCAAAGAACGAATTTTTTTACAGATTTAAGATCAGGCTATCCTTAGTAAGCATAATTTTGTCTGGCCTTTAAGTCTAAAATACTACAAAAAAGAGTTAACTCATTGACAAAATTGAATAAGTTAAAAATAATACCTTGAAGCTTATACAAATTAATCTGTAAATTAATTTACATGGTCGAAATTTATTAAGGGGCCTCTACACCTGCATATTTTTGGTCGAAAACTACACATCGTATGTTCCTAAAAATACTCCGATTTAAGTTTTGAAAAAAAATTTTAATTCTTCATAATATTTTCATCAATTAATGACATCAGCTTAAAAAAGATACAAATTGCATATTTTTAATTAAAATAATTAATAATTAACTATAATTTTAAAATTGTGCCACAATCGATGCCTTGGAAATGTTAAGAAGAATTCAAATATTTTTTTTAAAGCTTAAATCAAATTATTCTTAGGAACAGTACGTTTGAAGTAGAAACATATGTTTTTGTACAAAAAAAGATCCTACTGTGTTATAAAAAATTGAATATCAAAATAGATTCTTCTTTCCTATGGTAATATATATTTGTTTAAACATTAGCCTAATATTATTGAAAAATTGCCTATACAATGCGCCTCAATAAATGCTAGTGTAGAGGCCCTTAAACCTCCCTTTTTCTTAAATTTTGCCTATATAAAACTCCTTAAAACACGGCCCCTTACAATCCTCTTAAACGAGACTTAATTTAATCCGGTCCCCTCAACGCGTTATTATTGACGTGTATTCATTTGTATTATAATTATTGAACCATATTGTGTTGTACTTTAGTTGTTAGAATGGATCCGCCGCACGTTGCCGTGGTTGCAAAGCCGACAGACTGACAACTCATTATCCGGAGTGCAGAAGAGACTTGAGGAGTACCGCACATACAGACGCAAGCACAAGCCACCTCGCGTCGAACAGAAAGCCAAGTTAGAGACCAACTTCAACACTCTGCAAACCAAGTTGCGCCTGTCCAACCGACCCGCTTACATGCCCACTGAGGGCAAAATGGTGTCTGTAAGTGTTCGAAGTTGACAAAGCCAAGCGTAGCACACACACACACATTTCAGTCTGTTGGTGTACTTATTATGTGTGTGTGTTTTTTAGGACATAGCTAACGCTTGGAAGGGATTGGAACAATCGGAGAAATCTTTTGAAGATTGGCTACTATCCGAAATGATGCGGTTGGAACGTTTGGAACATTTGGCTCAAAAGTTCAAGGCCAAGGCCGACACTCATGAGGACTGGACTCATGGCAAAGAGGAAATGTTACAGAGCTCAGACTTCAGACAATGTAAATTGAACGACCTTAAAGCGTTGAAGAAGAAACACGAGGCGTTTGAAAGCGATTTGGCTGCCCATCAAGACCGCGTCGAACAGATTGCCGCTATTGCGCACGAATTGAAGTATTTACATAAATCACATATTTTTTTAATAACTTTATTACAAAAGTTGTGTTTTTGTTATTTTTCAGTACCTTAGAATACCATGATAGTACCAGTGTGAACATACGTTGCCAGCGGATTTGCGATCAATGGGACCGTTTGGGCAGCTTAACGCAGAAACGCAGAACTGACTTGGATGACGCCGAAAAAATATTGGAGAAAATCGATATTCTCCATTTGGAATTCGCCAAAAGAGCAGCTGTAAGTACAAGAGTATCGGCTGATTAACTAGGATAACACAGTAATAGTCCAGGAGTAGGAACTGTTAGCTACTGCCTACATGAATAAAATAAATCTAATTTCCTTATTAAATGCAAAATAAAACTTATAATTTTTCTTAATACATTATATAGGGTGATCCAACTAACGTAAGACACTCATTTTCTCGGAAAATATAAATATTTTGAGAATTTTTTTTCCTTTACTTCTAGGTACATATTTGACTACATTTTTCAATATTTTGGAAATTTTTATCACCAATCCTTATAAGCCAAATAGGGGATTTATGGTTTTTCTAAATGGCAACATGTTTTTAATTACACAATACGAACATAATTATGAATTTTATGTGCTACTGGTTTTTGATAACCGAAGAAATATGATAATTATTAAAGGAGCACAAAACACAAAGAATAAGTTTTTTTAATTTAAAAGAACGTTTAATTCTAAGAAAAATGTTATTGGTTTGACGTTTCTACTTACAAATGTATAGGTTAGTAAATCATTGTGTAAAGCGAGCTACTTTAGTCTTTACACGTGTAACATAGGCAACTATGGCGAGCTCGGCCCAATGTCGTCACGCGGCTATTCTAAATATCCTAATATCTTCTTAAATAATAATTTTTTTTTGCATCAGATTTTGACCAAATCGTTTTTAACACGTTGACTGCCATGAGGGTCATTTTTGCCCCTCAGTAGAATTTTTAAGTGGGCCATGAGGGGTCTAATAATAGAAATAAAGTTTAAAGTTGTAAAAAAATATTGTGGCGTCAATGGATAACACATTGAAATAGGCGTGGCAGTCAACGTGTTAATAGTTCTGACTACAATAATGTAACATTTAATAATGATTTAAAAAAAAAAGTTTTTGTGTTGTGTGCTCCAGGAAATGTAGTATTTTTCCAAAGTCATAGCTAATGAACAGATAAATGAAAATAAAAAATTCAAACGTTAACATATGTTGCCATTTAAAAAAATCAAAAATCCCCCTTTTAGGCTTATAAAGATTGGTGGAAAATTTCAAAATATTGAAAAATGTAGTAAAATATGTACCTAGAACGGGAAAAACAAATTCTCAAAATATTCATTTTTTCCGAGAAAATGAGTGTCCTACGTTAGTTGGAACACCCTGTACATGTACAATATATTTTGACTCTTTTAAAACAAACGAAAAGTATAATAAAATACACAACATAATATTCGATTACTGAACCTTCCAGGTTATTTCACTACTTGTATTACATTGTATTATTTGTTTTTTCACTATAAAAGGTAACATGCTATAGGCATTGCACTGTATAGGCAATTTTCTCAAACAAAAAAGAAATGAGCTTCAGTAGTTTCTACATCAGAATCTTCATTATAAACGTTTTCTAAAAAAAATCAGTGTCGTTTAATACAAATTCTGATGTAAATTATTTATAAGATTGAAGAAATAAGAAAACTTAAACAATTGTCTTGTCAAAGAGATTTTATTTTAATGAATCCTTTAATTTTAGTAAAAAAGAATGTTTAAGATTTTAAAATTATTTTTTTTCTTTATTAACTAAAAAAGAAAAATATCAAAAACAAATGTGATATTGAAGTCCAACTGGTCGACATTCTAGAAAGGCACTTCGAGTATTAGTATTTAATTATAATATTATTATTTAAATATAAGTTGAAACAACAAAATAAAGTATATGTGTATTTAAAAACTTATTTAAATTAACAGATTGTTGGAAAAAGTAAAATGAAAATGTATTTAAATGAAATTAATTAAAGTTATTAATAATACATTTTTTTAAATGATCTATTATTTAAACGATAAATAAACATTTATTTAAAATCAAAAATTATTTGGTTTGCTAAACATATCTATGATTTAAATTACCACGTTAATTTTGTTTAAAATTTCGCACATCCCATTTAGGTTTTGGTATAAAACTTTTATAAGTACACATTACCATTGGTGGTTTTATCTTAAATTTGTTTCCAACCCCCGAGTGAAATCCAGGCAAGAATATACAATATATTTCAATATTATCATCTCATTTTAGCCCTTCAACAACTGGTTGGATGGAACTCGTGAAGATTTGGTCGACATGTTCATCGTTCACACAGTCGAGGAGATCCAAGGCCTAATCGATGCTCACGGACAGTTCAAAGCTACATTGGCAGATGCTGACAAAGAATACAACTCTATAATCGGTTTAGTTAAAGACGTCGAATCGACCGTACAAAAATACCAAATACCCGGCGGTTTACAAAACCCGTATACTACATTGACAGCTACTGTATGTAATAGTAGACAATATGTCATGTGTACTTTATTTGTTTTATAATTGTCATATTATGTCTTTGTAATAGGAAATGCACAAAAAATGGTCAGACGTAAAACATCTGGTTCCCCAAAGAGACACGACCCTACAAGCCGAGCTCAGAAAACAACAAAGTAAGTTCTATTCTTTAAAATCGCATTGTTATATTTTTAATTTATTGATTAACTTTTACTCTTAGACAATGAGATGTTGCGCCGCCAATTTGCGGAGAAGGCAAACCAAGTGGGTCCGTGGATCGAGAGGCAGATGGACGCTGTGACGGCAATCGGTATGGGCTTGCAAGGCTCACTGGAAGATCAGCTGCACCAACTTAAACAATACGAACACAATGTGTTTGGATACAAACCTCACATCGAAGAATTGGAGAAAATCCATCAAGCCGTACAAGAAGGAATGATCTTTGAGAACAGGTGAGGTCCAAATGACGGCAACTCATAAGTTAACGTCTCGAGAAATGTTAATGCATTATTTACAGATACACACAATACACAATGGAAACTTTACGCGTCGGTTGGGAACAATTGCTTACGTCCATCAATCGAAATGTCAACGAAGTGGAAAATCAAATACTGACACGAGACTCCAAAGGCATTACCCAAGAACAACTCAACGAATTCAGAGCTAGTTTCAACCATTTCGATAAGAACCGCACTGGCCGATTAAGTCCTGAAGAATTCAAGTCGTGTCTGGTATCGATCGGTTACAGTATTGGAAAAGATAGACAGGTACATCGTCACATTTTTGGCCAAATTATTGTTGAATTATTTTTTTTTAACACATTTTTTTATTCTTCTTACAGGGTGAAATCGACTTCCAACGCATTTTGGCTGTCGTCGACCCCAACAGCACTGGTTACGTACATTTCGACGCTTTCTTAGACTTTATGACTAGAGAATCCACCGATACGGACACCGCGGAACAAGTGATCGACTCCTTCCGCATTCTGGCCGGAGACAAGGTATGTTGTTTATTACTACATGTTTTTATATGTATATATTTGAATCCACATTTTTTTCCGTTTTCACACAGCCTTATATTCTGTCTGATGAGTTGCGACGAGAACTACCGCCGGACCAAGCCGAATACTGCATACAACGAATGGCGCCTTACAAGGGTGTGAACGCTATACCGGGCGCGTTGGACTACATGTCCTTCTCGACCGCCTTGTACGGAGAATCAGATCTGTAAACGCTTTCATTATATTTTAACTTTAAAAAGAAAAAAAGGATAATAACAGCGTGAATATTTTAACCGAATGATGAATATCATATTCGAGTTTCAAATTCTTTTATCGAATCATCTGCTAGTCACATACTGTTCCCGTGTCCGTCCGCGCGTATTAACAAAATAAAAATTAATTTAAAAAAAAAAAAAAATACAAAATGATTTTTCCTGTACCTTTTTTTTCTGTGTATTACTCTTAGATAAGTATTTATTATTTAGATTAGAATTTATTTATCTACTATCAATAGGCTTTTAATAGAATATTTTCTTGCCTAGATTTTATTATTTAAAACAAATTAAATAGATAAACATTATTTTTCTTCTTTCTAATAATTTAGTGATGAAAAGGAAAGCTGTTTTTTTTTATGTTTTACTTGTTTATTTTTCGCCTTTAGAACAATTTAAATATTTTGACTAGTTACATATAAAAGAGTTGTGTATTAAAGGACCGAATGTCTTTGATTTAAGATTTATAATTAAAGAATAATAATGATTATTTCAAAATGACCCAAAATTGATAAATTATTGTACTACAGATTATAAGATAATATTATCTATTTTTTGAACACTCCAAATTAATGCTCAACGCACAACATATTTTTGTACACCGAATAAATTATTTTTTTATTTATATACATACGTCGATAAGAATGTATTGAACGATTTTCAAAAACCATTTAAAGTTTTTCTCTTGTAAATGATATTATGTTGTTCAGTAGGTAAATAATCATTTGTATTTTCTTAGTTTTCCTCATCAAATAATTTTTACCGTTTTCAATAATATATATTATGTAATATGGTTGCTTTCATCTTATTTATTCTTATTGTATAGTTTGTATTTTATTTTTAGTTATTATTATAATATTATATTTCGATTATTATAAATACGCTCGCGTACCGGAGATAATAATTTTAGTTTTTTTTTTTTTTATAAATTATTCTTGTTGATAATTTAAAAAAAAAATATCCGTTACACATGTGTGCGCACGCGTTACGTCACTCTGAGATGCCATAAGTTTTAATTTATTTTGTTTTTTTTTCTTCTAGAAAACAAAATAAGTATTGTAACATATTATATAAATATATTTTGTTTATCCTGACAACAGCGTAAACCGTAATACGTGTTCACACTTTATATATATATATTTTTTTTTTTTCTTTAAACAATTACCTTTCAAACTTTTCATGTTAAAAACAGAAATGTATACAAAGTTTTATATTGTTATAGTATGTTAATATTTATGTACTAAACAAAGAAAATGTATTTATTTAAAATATACATATGTGCCCGTTGTATTGTAAGAATTATGTGTTTCTCCTTCGAAATCACAATAAAACATCAAAATAGGAAATGCTTAAACTATCGAACCCTTGGAAAGGACATTATCGAGTATTTTATATTTTTGTTCGTGAAGAAAATGCAACCGAGTATCTGTGATTGTAATTTTTTTTCTGACGTATGTAAACAACATATGAAAATTCTATTAACTTGGTTTTAAAAATGTTTTGGATGATACTTCTTCCAGTTGGTGTACAAATTTTATTTTCCTTGTATAAACAAGAAATATGTGTTATTTAAATAAGTTTTTTTTTTTTAAATATTTACAGTGTATGTCCTAATAATACATAGTAACACTTTCCCTGCCAAGTATTGAATAGTTTATCTCGCTGAATGAAATAATTATTTTGTCTAAAAGCTATCTTAGTGTGAACTACTTAGCATTATTTTAAGGAGTTTTGTAAAGGCAAAATTTGAAACAATCGGTTTTAATCAATTTCGACCATGTAAATTAATTTACCGATTAAATTGTATATTAAGCTTCAAGGTACTATTTTTAATTTAAACAACTTTTTCTATGTGTAAAAGCCACTTTGGTTTATTTTAGACCAAAGAGCTTGAAAACATTTTGACTACTTAGGATGGTCCAAAACGTCAAAAAAAAAAAAACAGACCGCATGCAATCCCCTTAAGAGGACGCTACTCAAGCCATTTCTAAGGAGTAAAGTATAGGCAATTTTTCGAAAAATCTTAATTACGATTTTGAACTATATAATGTATACTTATTACAATATGGTAATGAGGATACTTTGTTGTTTGCCATTTTTTTTTGTCAGACTATCACAGTCTAAGATAAATTACAATTTTTTTCCCATCAAAACTGCTTTGCGCGGGACATGTATGTGAGTGGCCAGTATTAACAGTAAATTTACCAAATTTTCACAATGTACAAAGAAGAACATTATCCATGGGGTAGCATGGGTTTTTGATTCTATACTTATAATTTTTTTATAAACAAATTAAAAAGGTAAAAGTAATGAGTAATTTTGATTGTGCTTAAGTAAGTTATCAATAAACTAAAAAGGCTACCCCGTAGATAAAGCTCTTCTCTCAATTGTAAAAATGTATTTATAAATTACGGGTGGGTAGCGTCGTCATAAACAATTCCAATAACTTTCATATAACTTTATATTTGATACTAGGTTTACTGAAATTGCTAAATCTATTTTTATCTAAGTTTCAAGTTGTCATCTGTGTACACTGAAAAAGTATATACAATAAATATTTACATAATGAAAGTTTTGAAACATGTTTTTTAGCCATACACAGTTTATATAACATTCTCAATGTATTTAAAAAAAAAATGTAAGTTTTTTTTTTATAGTAATAATCTAATAATTTACTAAAATCACTGAATGTCAAAAAGAGTGGTGGTATTATTATTAATTTTAGTGAAGCCGAAAAATACTACTTTCGTATATAAATAGTTTACTTTGTCTTATACTCGACTTGGAAGTATCATCAAAATCATTTGAATTGTCCTTACCAGAAATTTTTAGTCTTTATACAACATAATTTTTCGTCCAATTATGTAATGGTATGATGACTATGAAAATGTTAACTTCATACGAATTATTGGTTTTTATTAAGAGTTTTCATTATTAAATAATAATAACTAAATATTTTATCAAGTGAAGACCATTCTTAAATTATTCTAATTTGGACCGAACATTCTTTTACAAAGTCAGTTGTTAACAATAGAACTTAAAAATATAATATTTAATAGTTTATCTTATTTTGGTGACCACCATCAATGGATATTCTCTAATTTATTTTTATTGATGATAATCGACTGATATACATATATTAGCTGGATTAATTAATTGGTATTTTCTGTCTAATTATTATTAATACGGTTATGCAGATTTTTTTATACATCTTTGATTGTACTTTTATTCATTTACGACGAATAATTTCACAAGAAATTCAAATGATTTTCTAGTTGAAAAATATACTAACAAATAAATGTAATACGAGCAACTACTTTTTAAGATAATTTTTATTTTATAATCACACTCAATACATAGAATAATACATGTTTATCGAGAAATATTTCAAAGGAAAATGTTTACATTTGTAATATATTTTATAAAATTGGTATATGGTCAACTCGCTTAAAATAGTACTTATGAGTATATGCTATAACATATTAATATATTATAAATAGTTACTTTTAGTTGCCTTGAAAAGTTGTTGATATATATATATTTTATTTGTAATAACATAACAACTATAAATTTATAAGTATAATTTTAAGCGCACTACCAGAATTATACTATCGAATTGTTATTTAATTAATATTGTTCTGAAACCATATTATATTTCGAAAAAAACGCATTAAAATAATTTAAAGAACTGAAAACTACCATTTTTTTAAAATTAAAATTCGATGTAAATATAGGTACACAATAATTTACCAAACTATAAACATTACAACATTAATATCGTTTTCCAGCTAAATAATAAAAAAAATTCCCAAAATTGGGCAATCATTAAAATTGTTGTTTAAAAAAAGTACAAATTTTGCTTGACATAAAAAAGAATAACAACATAATTAGTAAATTTGTGTTTTAATTGCGTGTCCGGTAAAATGTGATTGTTGTTACTTGTTTGGAACTTAATATAGACCGTTTCATAATAGTAATAAGTATATTCAACACACGATGAAGTACGTCGTACAATTTATTGTACTACTTATATAAACAAAAACAACCTAAATCAAAGTTTTTCTCAAGAATACAGGTTTATACACGCACTTTATATTTTACTATGATTATAGAGTATTGTCGCGCACAATGATTACTGTTACTACTAAAAAGACATTGTATTTATAAATAACTATTAATTGTTATCGACAGTTACAGATTTTTTAATCTCCTGCAAACGCAGCAATGCCATAATATTGTACCGCATTAAGATGTGATTGCGATATCGCTCGTTGTATTGGAATGCACTATCTGTAGTAATTATTTACCGACGTGTCTGGATTTTGGAGGAGGTATACAAGGATGAGCGCGATTAGACAGATCGACAGATAAGACCCATCGGCCGGAAACGGCTATTCGTCACCGTTGGATGTACAGCTCAAAGGTCTGCATTAGGGTGGTCCTTAGTCATAGATGAAGAATTTTTTTTAAAAGTTTTTCAATGGGCTACCCCGCCATTTTGTTCATTACTATGAAAAAAAAAAATTGGGTAGAATTTGGTTTTGATAACTCACCCCCTGCACGTGCCGCAAGGGGGTTGAAAAATGACCAAATGGGGTAGTTTTATAGTTTTTTGAGTTTAAATAAAAAAATATTGCATTTAGCATAAAATTACATATTGACTTTATGATAGATCATTAAATTCTCTATAAAAAAGGTTTTCACAAATTTTTCCAAAAATGCATTATTATCCAAGAAAAAAAATAAAACATAATTTTTTTCATTTATTTGGAAAACATTTTTTATAGGAAAAAATATGATTATTTTATTTCGTTCCCGGGTCGATTTCTATACTTTTTTTTCTAACGATAATTTTCGTTTTTCACAATATATTTTTTTTTAAACGATCTTTAAATACATAATGGTTGATCGTATGTTATTTTTCCTAATAATCTATTTTGTAGACAATTTAATTTTGTATAAAATGCATTCAAAGCGTTTTACTCGGTTTCCAGTCGTTCATCGTAAATGAAAAAAATTATGTTTTATTTTTTTTCTTGGATAATAATGCATTTTTGGAAAAATTTGTGAACACCTTTTTTATAGAGAATTTAATGATCTATCATAAAGTCAATATGTAATTTTACGCTAAATGCAATATTTATTTATTTAAAATTAAAAAAACTATAAAACTACCCCATTTGGTCATTTTTCAACGCCCTTGCGGCACGTGCAGGGGGTGAGTTATCAAAACCAAATCCTGCCCAAATTTGTTTTTCATAATAATGAATAAAATGGCGGGGTAGCCCATTAAAGTGTTAAAAGTTCATAAATAACAACCACCCTAGTCTGCGTGTTCAGTAGTAACGTACCTTATCGGCCTGACATTGGCTAGCTGATCGAGTACACGTACAACAGGCTTAAAGCGAATAGCGTACTCGGCGGCTTTCGATGTCCTGAAGTATATGTACGCCACTCGTTTACCGTTAAAACATAGTCTGACAACAAAGTGTCCGAATCCGGTGTACTGTTTGTTGAGTATTTTTACAATTTCTTTATCGCCGACGTTTGGATTTAAATCGCTCACGCACAGAGTCTTGAAGGACAGCAGGTATTCATCGAGCCGGGATAGCCTGGAACTGCATTGTTGTAGTTCGGTACGACGTTCGGGTGCTTCTCTCTCATCTGGGTCGCGCGACATTATCAGTCCCTGTGTATTCCGATTGTTTTGAACACTGTAAATAATTAAATTCGTAAAATCACTCTCGAAGAAATGTATTCAAAAACGTTGAACGTGGTTTAGCTCAAGCTGTAGGTACTATTTTTTTTTAAAAAGCCAATTTTTGACAAAATTGTACACGTTATAGACCCGTTCTAGATTTACCGTCGGTGTAGTTTTCAGACCTTAACCCCCAAAACTTCACCTGAAAAACCGAAGTAGGGAAAATAGTTCCACCCCTTCTAGAGAAAAGGGTTCATGAAATTTTTTGTTTTCGACGTTTATCGGTAGTAATATATCTAAAGAATATTCCATAATAACAGTACCTACATTGGCAGCTCCGCGTTGAAGCTAAAAACGGTCAAATTACTTACCTGTACAGTGTACTCATATGAGTAGTGTAAGCGCAATTTTTTGTAAAACACAATCTAACGAGGCTTATGAAATGAATTATACAAAACTATGAAGATAAATGTATGTCGTATAATGCAATTTGTGTGCAAAAACCAGGAGATAAACGACACAAAACTCTGTTTCCGAAGTGTAACAACAGATAAGTGAAGAAAACGATGGTGGAGATTATTGATTACTCAGGTCTCATCATCAGGTTGTCTTGCGCTCGACTGACGAGACAACGACGTGACCTAAATGATATTCAAAAGACAGCACTGTTTCAAACTTATAATCGTCTCAAATCTCAATTTCACTATATGAGCACAGTTATTTTTAGTTATAAAGTGCATAAGTAAAATTTCGGTATTTTTATACGTTTTAGTACTATAGACGTTAACGACTCTTGCTCGTAATTTATATCATTAAAAACTAATACAGAATTGAATTATTAGACAATTAATCCAAATACTAAAAATGACTGTATCAATGGTTTTTTTTGTTCTAACGAAATGTTTGTCGAAACTTGTTCATAATAACTCATATTATGCTATAATATAATTATATCTGCGGAAACAGCTAGCGACATATAATATACAGGTTCTTTTGAACTATACATAAAAACAATATCAACAAATCATTAGCGAATATAAACAACAA